CCTTTTTCCTCAAAGTTCATAGAAATTCGCGAAAAACTCGTTCCTAATATTCCTCAACCTTCCTAGCGGCGACTGAGCCTTCCGTGGGTTTTGAGGGGAATGGATTTCAGTAAATGTGCTTTGTACGGAAGCAATGGGCGAATCCTGCTGTCATGTGAGGAAAACGCTGAGGGGCTTTTAGAATTCTACGTTTGAAAACTGGGCCGCAAGATGCTTTTGACTTTTCCTACTTTGAGAGCATCCTACTTTTGACTGAAAAAGCAAAGAGCAGGGCCAAATTTGTCTCGCTGGCAGATCAAGGAATTTATTCGTCAAGACACTTTTGAGTTCTCGAGCTCCACAGATAAATATCAAAAAACTTAGCCGAAAAATGCCTTTGAGTTTGCCTATCCCAGAAGAAACCTGCTTTTGCCTTTGAAAGAGAAAAGAGCAGGGCAAATATGGTCTTACTGGCAGAGAAAACCAGGCATTTCTTGTAACAGGACACTTTTTTAAAAACCATCCTACTATTGACTTTGAAAGAAAAAAGAATAGAGCAAACTTGGTCTTGCTTGCAGATCTAGGAAATCAAAGATACTTTTTCTAGGAGTTCCTAAGCTTCACAGATGAATTTCAAAAGACTTTGTCGAAGGGTACTTTCGAGGTTGACTGTTCTAGAAACTACCTGCTTTGCGTTTAACAGAGAAAATAAGGGCGAATTTGGTCTTACTGACAGTGAAGAGTTATGTAACAGGACAATTTTTCTCAAAGTAATTCTAGGGCTCAAGAGAGTTTGCCGAAAGATAATTTTGAGATTTAGTACTCTGAGAACCTCCTACTTTTGCTTCCGAAAGAAAAAAGCAGGGCCCTGTTACCAGAATTGACCAGGGACTTTACGCGGCAGGACACTTTTTCTAAGAACTCCTACGCTTCGCCGATAAATAAAAACCTCACTGGATATTCTTTACGTTTTCTACTCTAAAAACTTCCTACTTTTGTCTGAAAGGAAAAACTGGGGCGAACTTGATTTTGATGCCAGAAAATACCGGGAACTTCACGCAGGATGACACTTTCTAAAACATTCTGTGTTCTGCATTTGAATTTATAGAATTTTGGCGAGAGTTTTTTGGGGTTCTTTCACCCTAAAAACATCCTACTTCTGCCTCCAAAGAGAAAAGAGCAGGGCGAACTTGGTCTCGCTGGCAGAAAGACCAGGGACTTTATGCGACACATTTTCTAAGAATTTCTACGCATGAGAAATAAATTCGAAAAACTCGTTGAAAGTACTTTTGACATTCTGTAATCTTACAAATGCTTTTGTCTGCAAAGGGGATAAGAGCCAGGCAAACTTGGTCAACTTGGCAGAAAATACCAAGGACTTGGCTTGATGGAAACCTTTTTTAGCATTTGGCTCAAAAAACTTTGCTGAGAGATACTTTTGAGAATTTCTGCTTCAAGAATGTTTTACCTCTGCCTCCAAAAAGAGAGCCTACAAGGCTTGGTCTCGCTGGAGGAAAGACCGTGGAGGTCTCGCTCCACGAAAAGACTTGGGATTTTATGCGTCAGAATTTTTCTTAACCGTTCCTAGCCTCGTAAAATTGCGGAAAAGTGCTTTTGAGATCTTACCCTCTAAGGTTTCTCTATTTTTGTCCTCAAAGGAGAAAAGATAGGGGCGTACTTGGTCCCGCTGACGGAAAATACTGTATCTGTAGTTTTGGTCTTCTCTTTCAAAGGACAAGCTTAACGCTTTTCAAGGCATAGCAATGTTCATAAAATAATTTGGGCTTTGATCTAAAGCAGCAGTCCTTTAGAAATGATATCTTTGCTGATTTCCAGTGATTAGATCTGGGAACTGGGAGGTTTCGGGAATAGGATTTCTGCGAGGATGGTAGTAAAATGAAGTGCAGATAATTTCCCGCTATTGAAAGCTTGTTCTTTCAGAGCGTAGTATCTTGTTTGTACTATCAGTTTGGCTAAAAAATAAGTTCGGCCGTTTTAACGTTTGTAGCAAAGTTACAATTTGATTTATCTAATAATGTATGGTACCACTGGAAAGCGCAAATCGAGGGGAATTGGATGGTCTGCTCTATTTGAGCGCCACCTAATATTATATTTTGACAATGAAATTGCGAGGAAAGTGAGATATTTTTTCATCTGATTTTCAACTAATGCTCCGAAAACGAGTCGAAGTTGAGTGTAAAATGCACAACTGCCATTCACGCCCAAATTCTGAAATTTCCAACAACAACGACCATAGATGGTCAGATTCAAGATTGTGAATGCTCAAAAAACAGACTTCCACGCGCAAATGCCTAACAATTCTCCCATTTTCGGCTGCAGAGCAGATCACCATCTCCATTGTAGTTCGCCATGTAGGCAAAGGATTTGCATATTTAACTGCCGTTTAATTCATCCGTGCACTCACTACTGGCTAAGAACGAAGCTTAAAATCAAAAAAGCGATTTTTCAGAGGTCGGACCATATAAGGGCATAACTGTCATTTTTCGATGATAAAAAACTTTGACTAATTGATTTGTGAGAGTAGAAGGCTAAAGTTACCTCTTCGCAATAAACCTGAACGGAATAGCTGCTTCTGAATGGTTTTGGAATTTCGAAATTGAAAGTAATCGAACTTATTCATTGTTAATTTGATATTATTTACAATTCGCGAGTCGTTCAGAGAATGAAGTGAGTTCAAACTATTTACAATGGTTCGCAAACGTATGTGTCAACGTATCGGCCCAAACCCACTTGCTAGCGACCCGTAGGGTCGCTAGTCTTATATATAAAGCTGAATGTCTGTTAGTATGTCTGTCTGTCTGTCTGTCTGTATGTCTGTCTGTGTGTACGTATGTTCCGAATAGAAAATTCCATTTCTGAACCGATCGGGACCAAACTTGGCACACATACACTTCGGGCCCCGGCGGGTGTCACAGGCTACTTTTCGTATCGATCGATATCGATTTTATCGATTTTTTGCAAAATTTGAGCTACGGGGCTGGGAGTTGGCACAGGGGGGTAAGTGAGCATGGGGAGTCCGAATACAATATTAGTTTTCAAAATCGTGCATTACTTTTATCGATTTTATCGATTTTTTTGCAAAGTTTGAGCTGCGGGGCTGGGATTTGGCACAGGGGGGCACCCCTCTGCCAAATTTCAGCCCCCTAGCTCAAATTTTGCAAAAAATCGATAGCATCGATAAAAGTAATGCACGGTTTCGAAAACTAATATCGTATTCGTAATCAGCACGCTCGATTGTCCCCCTGTGCCAAATTCCAGCCCCCTAGCCCAAATTTCGCAAAAAATTGATAAAATCGACATCGATCGATAACGAAAAGTGGGCTGTGACACCCGCCGGGGCCCGAGGTGTATGTGTGCCAAGTTTGGTCCGGATCGGTTGAGAAATGGAATTTTCTATTCGGAACATACGGCGGAGCCGGGTAAGCCAGCTAGTCTCTTATAGAAAAAGGCTGGAATTTTTTCTGATGTAACAGACATGGAAGCTTTAATCGTCTTTAGGCGCTTATATACTTCACTACTCATGATTACGGGTATAGGTTAGATCTTCAGGAGATAGTACCTCTACAAAGGACAGCATGATTCAACATCAGCGAAAGATTTTACAAAGTACTACGATAAGGAATTGGCTTTATCATGAGCGGAAAAGAGAATCTGGTCATTTTCGTCCTCAATGAGGATTCCATTCTGGTTTTTCCAACACGATGCTTGAGAAAAATAAATAGTCCTCGCATGTTATTTCTATTTGCCATTTTCCTTTGTTGGTAACTCCAAAAACGGCGCAAATGATGGTTTAGATGTCGACATACGGCTCTATATAGCTCAGATCGAAGAGGATCAGTGGTTTCATAAAGGAGGCGTTCTTTTTGTTGCAAAAGATTCTGAATTTGCTTTGGGTATTTTTGGTTGACTTCTTTATTTTCCTTAATGGAACGTGAGCTTCAATGAAATCATGCAAAATTGAGATAAATCTTATATATAGATCATCAATGTTTGCATACTGATCAAAAAGTAGAAACCAATCCAAGGAGAGAAAATGGGCATTTATATCATCAAAATTTACTTTTTTGAAATCATGAGTATCTGTAATCTTGGTGCAGAACAAGATCTATGGACAAGAAATTCAACTATTGCATGATCAGAGGAGCCCATTGGCGAACACGTGCCTTTGAAAGCAACGACAGTCGATGAGGTTAAAATGATATCGAGTATTGATTCCTCTCGCGTGGGCATATTTACTAATTGAATCATCTCAAGCGATTCAAAAAGATAAATATATACTTTTTTGACACAATGAGCATATATTAGTTGTAATAGATTGAGATAATATGTTCTAGCGACTTCCAAATAGAAAGTCTAATAAACTCTTTCTTGAGAAAACTGCAGTTACGCTCGCGGTGTCCCATTACTTTGCGATCACCCTGTAACTATTTTCGCATATTTAGCCAGCTTTTGTTTCTCTATCTCTACTCATATAATAGACCCAGTAACTGTGCAGTAAAGTGTCTATGAAAGTATATATGTGAGTAAGTTGAAAAGTCACCTCTTCGGAAAGAGATTATTTGGTAGTCGTAATTGCCAGCAGTTCAAACTCTCTGCGAATGTCTGAGCGTCATTATGTAATGATTGCTTTAATTTACCTGTTGAAATATTCCTCACATTTTTTCATTTTAAAATGCGATTAGCGCAAGATGCTGCAATTTTATGAAGTATTATGAAGTGATAGCACGTAGCGCGCACTTTTGATATTTTTGTCATCGGCTCCTCTTGGCACATTCTCTAAATGATAAGCGAGGCTGAAGAACTACGCCTTATATTTTTGGACGAATTTTTTCTTCTTTTTTTTTGAGAAACTGAGACCAGCTAGTCAGCAGCTCAGCTGGTAGAATGGAGCGGGTATTACTGCATTCAAAAGATTTGAAAAACTCAATTAGAAGCGTAGCAATAGTTCATCTCTGCGAAAAATCAAACCTCCACTTTTTGAAAATGTTCAAGACTCTTACAATCAAGGCCGGCTCCTGCAGCTTTCATAGAGGCTCTCAATACCACATTTTTTCTAGGTAGACATATTGGAAAGGCCTCATCCTTTGGGAGATCACGCTCAAGTTCGATGATGGCAAAGTCATTCGAATCGTCGCAGTCGTCCCAATCAGGATGCAAAATAATCTGAAATTTGCAGTATTCTGTCTCTTACCATGGACTTTGTATGAATGTTCGAAACCTTGCCCGGTGTTCTGAGCTCGGTTTTACACCCTCTTCCAAAGGAGCATCTTCTCACGTAAATAAACCAAAGGCTCTTTCTTCTTAGAACATCGCGATCGTATCTAAATCTAGTCTGTTGATGAGTAGACGTATAATAATGAGGACAGTCAGAATATAGACTCGTTAACTTTCTGTCTTCTTTCCTCTTGTTGCACTGCGTCTTGTCACGCGGCGTTTGTGCTGTGACACAATGCCCAGCTGTGACAATGTGCCTTCGAGAAATGAGAGCTCCACTGCATATGAACTTGTTACCATTTTCTGAACTGTTATCATACATTCTTGAATTCTTCGCAACACACTAATTACTACCATTCTAGGTAGACCATCCAACGTGATATATTAGGTCGTTTCATAAGTTCGTCGACTTTTTATTTTTGTCGCCGTTTTTCGATGAAGCGGTTGGTTTACGGCAAAGTACCTTTACCATTGAAAAAAGAAAATTTTGCTTTACAAGTACTGTTGTTCGTTTTTGGAGCAATGAATCCCCTTCTTTTACGACTTATCAAAGCAAAATTTTTTGAGAGGCAAAAATTGGCGATTTCGGCAACTGCACTTTCCGCATTTGGTCCGTATTCCGCAAGATGTTTCTGTCATAGGTAGGCGGGATGGAAGTAGCAAGCAAGACTAAAACACTGACAAATTTGCAGCATGCCAATATGCATAGAACCGTTTGAACAAGGTCCCAATAGTTGTTGACTTCGACTGCTGCCGCTTGAGTTTGGCGCGTTGTTCAGCGACAGAATGTGTCAGTCCTCCTATCGGAACTTGAGGAATGGACGCGTTCTTCTAAGTGGTGTAGATGTATGAGTACAAACTCTGGCCAACATTTTACGCTTTCTCAAAAAAATTTTTGACGTGGGAACTTCTTCAAATTGTGCCAAACGCAAAACATCTACACACATGGTAAACGTGCGCTTAATCTTTCTTTATAGCGTCTCTTTGGATACGGAAATTACTTTTATATGCACCGCAGTACAATAAACAGTTGTTTCTCATCACTCATAACAACTTCAGGCAAAAAATTCTTACTTTGCTCCGATCGAAAGTTGCAGGTGCGAAAATCGCCAATTTTTGCCTCTCAAAAAATTTTGCTTTGATAAATAGTAAAAGAAGGGGGTTCAATTTGCTCCAAAAACGAACAACAGTTCTTGTAGGGCAAGATTTTCTCTTTTCAATGGTAAAGATACTTTGCCATAAACCAACCGCTTCATCGAAAAACGGTGACAAAAATAAAAAGTCGACGAGCTTATGAAACGACCTAATATATTAGGTCGTTCCGAAAGTTCTTTCCGTTTTTTCATCATATCATGAAAACACGTGGAACGAAGAAAGAGAAATGCTTCAGGCAATGTCCGACGCAGCCTTTCTTCCTCTTTTCAACCGTCATATTCTTGTGCCGCTCGCTCTTGTGGTCAGTGAGATAATGGCCGAAATTTCGGACCTATGGTTTTTACCATGTCCAATTTTGGCAATTTTTCACTTTCTTCTTTTTTGACTTTTGGAAAAGCTTTGACAGCACTCGGATAGAGTAAACAAAGCGCAATGCAATGCAATTTTTGGCAATTTCAGCTGGCTTCTCATTATTTTTTGAGACAACTTTTCCAGAAGTCTTCACTTTTTCAGAGTCACAAAACACACAAACGCTCTGAACATCAACAAATCTTCGGTTTTTGAAACTTTCAAAAGTCGTTTATGATTTACACTATTTTTACAAAGTAAGTGAGCGTTTACCGCTTCGAAATATAAGATTTCGCATTTCGCGGGCACATCATGAGGCGGGTTCAAAATCAAGATTTATGGAAATTTTATTGCCAAAGATCCCACAAACTAAGAAGAAAAAGCACTCTCAGAAAGACGAGAAAAAGCTGCATCGAATGGCACCTTAGTTGTGCGCCGTTTTGTGTTCTATGGCTTCTGGCATCCACAGAAGTGGAACTTGATAGCATCAGAAAAATAATTCTAAAAATGTTTTGAGGCTAGCTATAGATGCCGGAAAATTGCATGATATTGCACTTTGTTTACTTTACTCTATCCGACTGCTATCAAAGCCTTTCCAAAAGTCAAAAAAGAAGATAGTGAAAAATTGCCAAATTTGAACATGGTAAAAACCATGGGTCCGAAATTTCGGCTATTATCTCACTGACCACAAGAGCGAGCGGCACAAGAATATGACGGTTGAAAAGAGGAAGAAAAGCTGCATCGGACAGTGCCTGAAGCGTTTCTCTTTCTTCGTTCCACGTGTTTTCATGATATGTTGAAAAAACGGAAAGAACTTTCGGAACGACCTAATATATATATTATATATATTATATATATTATATATATTATATATATTATATATATATTATATATATTATATATATATTATATATATATTATATATATTATATATATTATATATATAGGGTGTCCCAAAAAAATGTGAACACTGTTTGATCGTTAATAACTCCGTTGCTTTCATGCTTTTCGCCGAGCTTGAGGCACCATTCTGCAGAGCGAGGTTTAACTTAGATCTACAGTGTGGAGCGAATCACTGATCGCTGTTCGTTAGTGTAGGATTACGGTATGGACTTCTGGCATGTGAATCTACTGTAAAATATGCCACTTGACAGAATTTTTTCAAAAAATCTGGAAAATCGTGTACTAGTGTTTTCGCGCACGCTGATTCCATTACACAACTTTTTACGAGTGTTTTTAGCTTTTTTGACGGTGTAGTCACATTTCTGACAAATGCTGGAAATTCATTGTTACGGTTTAGCTGGGACAACTTTGGAAAGAAGCATTACAGTGAAGAAATCTTCATATTCGAACTCAGCGGCTTCCAGTACCATAGTATGAAAGTTTTTGGCTTGTTTGATTCTCTTTCTGAGGCAAAATAACGCTTTCAATGGCTTGAAATCTTCCTTGAAGTTCCTACCGGAGTCCTACAGTAATGAAGAGCGATAGACTATTCGCTCCATACTGTAAATCTAAGTTAAACCTCGCTCTATAGAATGGTTCCTAAAGCTCGGCGAAAGATATAAAAGCAAGGGAGTTATTAACAATAAAACAGTGTTCACATTTTTTGGGACACCCTGTATATACAGGGTGTCCCAAAAATGTTTCGAACGTTTGATCGTTAATATCTCTCTTCCCAAGAAGTCTTTTGCCTTGCTTCAGGAACCGTTTTGTAGAGCTGGCTTCAACTTAGATTTGCATTATAGAACGAATCACCCATCTCTCCTCATTACTGTAGGATTACGGTAGAAAGTTGAAAGAGGGTTTTAAGCAATGAAAGGCCATATTTTGCCTCAGAAAAGAAACAAAACAGCCTGAAAGCTTCTACACTAGGCTAATTAGAGTTGCTGATTATAACTGTAAAGTTCCCAACTTATTGTGATGCTTCATTGAAGAGTTATGCCAGGTGAGAGGTAACGGCCATTTTTTCAATGTTCCTAAAAAGTGCGATTACACCGTTTAGAAAACTTCGTAACCTTGTGAACAGTTGAGTATTGAACTCAGCGTCCATAAAGACCCTATTACACAAGTTTTCACAATTATTTGAAAAATTTTGAAACGGCAGCTTTTTTCCACATCGACACCACATGTTTCAAGTTTCTACCGTAATCCTACAGTAATGAAGAGAGATGGGTGATTCGTTATATAATGCAAATCTAAGTTGAAGCCAGCCCTACAAAATGGTCCCTGATGCAAGGCAAAAGACTTCTTGGGAAGAGAGATATTAACGATCAAACGTTCGAAACATTTTTTTGGGACACCCTGTATTAGATCGTTTCGAAAGTTCTTTCCGTTTTTTTCAACCTATCATAAAAACACGTTAAATGGAAGCAGGAAAAACTCTTCAGGCACTATCCGACGCAGCTTTTCTTCCTCTTTCCAACATTATGTTTTGTGACTATTTGCTTTGATGTTTTCTAAGATAATTGCCGTGAATTCAAACCCATAGCTTTTACCATGCCCAACTTTGGCAATTTTTCACAATCCTTTTTTCTACTTTTGAAGAAGTTATGATAGCATTAGGATAGAGTAAACAAAGTGCAATTTAATGCAATTTTTCGGCGTCTATAACTAGCCTCAAAAATTCTTCAGAATTATTTTTCTGATGCTATCAAACTCCACTTTTGGCGATGCCAAGAACCATAGAACATAGAAGCACAATAAGGTGTCATTCGATGCAGCCTTTCCTCCTCTTTCTATTGAGTATTTTCCTTCCCAATTTGTGGGGGGGGGGAAGGTGATAAAATCTCCATGATTATTGATTTTGAACCCGCCTAAAGGTGTACACGTAAAATGCGAATTTTATATTTTGAAGCAGCAAACACTCATTTACTTTGTAAAAATAGTGGACAATCATAAACGACTTTTGAAAGTGTCGAAATGCGTAGATGTGTCGTTCGGATCCTTTGTGTGTTTCATGACTTTTAAAAAGTGAAGATTTCTGGAAAAGTTATCTCAAAAAATACTGAGAAGCCAGTTGAAATTGCCAAAATAATCCATTAAATTGCACTTTGTTTACTCTATCTGACTGCTAACAAAGCTTTTCCAAAAGTTGAAAAAGAAGACTGTGAAAAATTGCCAAAGTTGGGCATGGTAAAAACCAAAAGTTCAAGATTTCGGCCATTATCTCACTGACCACAAGAGCAAGCGCCACAGGAGTATGGCAGTTGGAAAGAGGAAGAAAAGCTGCCTCGGAAAGTGCCTAAAGAGTTTCCCTGTCTTCATTTCACGTGGTGTTATGGGTCGCGAAATTGTTGAAAGTTGCTTAAATGTTAAAGTTATAAACATGTGTAGGGGACTTGTTTTTACTTGTAAATAATTAAAATAATTTTTAAAAATTTTTAAAAATTCAAATTAGCCTTGTAAGAAAAATTTTTCCGGGGCATGGCTGTCGCCACGCCTCCTTTTTCAGACATTTTAAGGTGAGGAGGCCCGGAAAACACCAAAAATTTCTGAGAAACACCCCAAAGATTTTTCGGAGTGCGTGGCTAACGCCCGCACCTTCACCCGAAAAATTTTTGTTGCCCCCCCCCCCCCTCCCCGAACGGAAATCCTGGTTACGCCACTGATATATTAGGTGGAACCGAAAGTTCTTTCGCCCCAAATTCAAAAATTTATAAGATTCAGGTGAAAATTTGCTGTTAGAATTTTTCTGTCATGCTGTTTCCGAAAACGCTGGTAATTCTGTTTAAAATCTCAGAAATTTTCTTTCTTCAATTTCAAAATTCTTTGCCTTTCTGGCAAGGTCTTTTGATTTGCGG